CAATGAACAGTGGCTGTGCAGTGAACAGTGGCTATGCAATAAACAGTGGCTATGCAATAAACAGTGGCTATGCAATAAACAGTGGCTATGCAATTAACAGTGGCTATGCAATGAACAGTGGCTATGCAATGAACAGTGGCTATGCAATGAACAGTGGCTATGCAATGAACAGTGGCTATGCAATAAACAGTGGCTATGCAATGAACAGTGGCTATGCAATGAACAGTGGCTATGCAATGAACAGTGGCTGTGCAATAAACAGTGGCTATGCAATGAACAGTGGCTATGCAATGAACAGTGGCTGTGCAGTGAACAGTGGCTGTGCAATGAACAGTGGCTATGCAATAAACAGTGGCTATGCAATGAACAGTGGCTATGCAATAAACAGTGGCTATGCAATAAACAGTGGCTATGCAATGAACAGTGGCTGTGCAATGAACAGTGGCTATGCAATGAACAGTGGCTATCCAATGAACAGTGGCTGTGCAGTGAACAGTGGCTATGCAATGAACAGTGGCTGTGCAGTGAACAGTGGCTGTGCAGTGAACAGTGGCTGTGCAGTGAACAGTGAACAGTGGCTGTGCAATGAACAGTGGCTATGCAATAAACAGTGGCTATGCAATGAACAGTGGCTGTGCAATAAACAATGGCTATGCAATAAACAGTGGCTGTGCATGAACAGTGGTTATGCATTGAACAGTGGCTATGCAATGAACAATGGTTATGCAATAAACAGTGGCTGTGCAATGAACAGTGGCTATCCAATGAACAGTGGCTGTGCAGTGAACAGTGGCTATGCAATGAACAGTGGTTATGCAATGAAAAATGGATATGCAATGAACAGTAGGCATGCTTCACTTTTTCACCAGCATTAATTTTTCACCTGCCACAAAATATTCCTATTTACTACCTGCTTATTTCAAAATATGCAGTAGGAAACCAATGGAAAATCTGTTCAGATATGTTTGATGTACATAAATAGAAGTCGTTCATCATTTTCATGTTGAATGACGTTGAAGCCGTTGAGGGGGACAAGCTTGTGATTACATGTGGTAGGCATGCAACATGAAGTGGAAAACCTCATGAAAACAGAAACTTTTTTTTTATAAATCTTCACCCACATATCAAGAGTAACAATTTTTGACAAAGAAAGGTGACTCTAAACATACCATATAAAATAACTCCCACAGACCATAGATCGACTGATGCATCGTAAGCTTGTTCACAAATCATTTCGGGTGCCATATAGAGTGGAGATCCTCGAATACTGTGCATGCTATTCCTCATATGCATAGCAAAACCAAAATCTGTAAATAATAAAATTAGAAACAGATATCACAAAAATAAGTTACTTAGATATATAAAAGCAGGCCACATAATATACAATTCTGCCTTATTTCACCTCAGTGCATAAGTTAGAGGATTCAGTTATAACGTTGATTTAAAAAAAAAATACCTTGAATCTGACAATTTTGTGAAAATAAGACTGGGGGACACTAGTACACACTACATTATATCTCAGACAACTAATAAACAGACTGGCAACGCTATTGTTTAGAGGTGTCAATTGGCCTAATCCCCTGCGAAAAATGTGTCTCGGCTACGCTGGTGGCCCATGCTTTGCCGAATTTTGCCGAATGGTGAGTACACACATCGGGAATCGTCAGCCTTGTGTGCATTTTAGTCATTCTCTGTATTCAGTTCAGATCAACCGGAAATGAGAGAGTTTCACTTTGAGTTGCCGAATAATTTATTTCTAAGCCAAAATTGACCATATTTTAAGAAATATTTTTCGTTAGTGACTCAATCTTTCTAGCATAGTTCACGTCGCCATTTTTACAACAAAGCTAGTCTTATGTTATTGAATTTTGCCGATCATGTATTAGAAAGCCTTTGAAAATATGATACATCAGGACAAGAAGTTTACCAGTCAACTAAATCACGGCAAACTTAATATAACAGTCTCGAAATAGTTTTGATTTTGTACTTGTGTGTAGCAACATCGCGTCGAGAGAATGCTTATTTTTACCTACTTCAACTTATTTGCACTGCTATTTAGTTTGACCTGCAACTGAATTTTATACTTTCTGTTTTATTTATAAATGTCTGTAGGCCGGTGAGAATCACTAACGTAAGGAAAATATGGAACTTCAGTCTGACCTTTCACGTCACTTACTGTTAAAACGTTTTCGCGTGACTTCGTGGACATTTTCTTATCTATCCCAGTTGTTTATAAGCTTAAAACATTATTGCAAAAGTAAACACAAGACACATGTTAGATCAGAAGAAATTTTTTAGCTCTGATTCATTTAGAATCAAGGATTTGAGAATTTAATAAACTTGGTGAAATATGGATGAAAATACAGTCCACACTGTGATTGATCTTTATAAAGGGATGATAACAAGTCCTGTTCTCAACCATGGAAATCATTGGGGTGTTTCTGTAGAAAATGGTTAAACAGAAAAGCACAATTAAACCTGCGGGTGATACATATGTGGTTTAATTTTCCTAAAGTCTTTAAAGTCTACAAATTTGAACACAGACATTTGTTTAAATTCTTTATAAATGTGTTTGTCTGAAATAAACATGATTTTGGTAAAAATCACAATACTAGCATTTCATTGTTAGTTGCACAATACCAATCGGAAATTTTGCAGTAAGTATCAGAAAATAACAGCTCAACATTGCATGGTATTAAATTATTAAATTTGGTCGTGTATGAGGAACACCAGCTTCATCACAATTCCGATCATTTCTATTAAAGTCCAAAGTTTATTATATTATACCTGCAAGTTTTAAGACAGGATCATGGGTGCTGGACAGGAGTACATTCTGTGGCTTAAGATCCATATGCGATATCTTCTTAGTATGTAGAAATTTGAGTGCACATGCTGCAATTAAAAACAGACAGTGCAATATATGATAACCATCAAAAAAGTTTTCTTTATTATGATAGTCGCTACCAGTGAAACATGAAAATTTATTTATGTATTTACTGTATTTATTAAAGTCCTGTAATTTTTTTTTTATGGGTAATAAAAAATATTTATCAAAAAAAAAAAAAAAAAAAAAAAAAATTTATGTGATGATTCACATACATGCATGTCATTCATATTTAAAACTTTTACAGAGAAAGAAGGATGTGTTTCCAAGACAACATATGCAAAATAATCTAAAAAGCGGCCATTTTGGAACATTTTCCATAAGATTTCATGTAAACAAATTATTCGATGGATAACATATATAAATATGCTTAATTCTCCCATTTTTCGTGACAGTCAAATGTAGCACTCATATCATTTTTAAGCATTGGTCACCATCAAACAAAATTTTTAAATACAATGGTATGTTTCTGCCATAGTAACAAATTGTAAACTATTCAAAAAACACATCTTTTAATTAATTTTCAAAATTGTTCTGTGGAAAATGAAGTGACCATATATTTTTATTACCGAATTTTCAACAATACAGCATAAACCTTTTGTTGGATTTCAAAGATTTTTGAGCACATTCAACTAGTCAAAAATGAGTGAAAATAAATTCCATACAAAACAACTAAATAGTCTTTTCAGCGAAAATTAATTCCAGCTAAAATAAATTATTCTACAGTATATGAAAGCAGTAAGTTTTCCTGACAAATTCAGCATTTTGAGCATTTAGAAGTGTTTACTTATATTTCAGACAAAATTTATCATTGCCTATAGACACTGAACAAAATTATAGAAAAAAATACAAGAAAAATAATGCATCTTTATTTTGTGAAAGGTGAAACAACTTTCTGCTTCATTCTATAAAAAAATTTCACAAAAAACTATTTGTGTGTCTTACCTAACTGCTGTAAAAACCTTTTCACTATTTTCTCGGGCAGAGCTCTCTTACATCGGATGAAATTGGAAAGATCTCCTCCACTACAATACTCCATAATAAGATAGATGCATTCACTGTCCCACTGATGAAAAATAAGACAACATTTCACTAATACTTTATAACTAATCTAAACAATCAATCAAAATTTATAATTAAAATGAAAAATAAGAACACTAGCTAGTTTCTATAAAAATATTAAGACAACAATAATTTACAATTTGAATTCTCTTGTCATTTTCTAGTTTATTGGCATTTATTTTGTTTATTGGATTTTTTTTCCCCTATTAATATAGCTGTATATGTTTTTTTCAGTAGATATCTTGTCGTCTCGTGTGATTGAATTTTACTCTGTGATTCTTGTCTTGGTGTTTTGGCATATTAGTCATTTTAGTTTAGCGTCTATCTCTTGAAAATAGTTCATTTTGTATTTGCTTTATTGCCCTTAATTCAACTGTTATGTAACCAATTTTAATCCCTTCCAAGAAATTTTACGAATTTATATGTCTGTTTCATCTTATGTCACCAAGCAAACTTTTGAGATAATAATTGAAACCAGTGCAAAAATGTAAAGTTTTACCATTTTTTCATGTATATGGGACTCTTGTTTCCTGAAAAATTGTCTTGTGACGCCAATTTTGTTTGTTTTTATTTTCAGTATCATAATGACATTAATTCATAATTGCAAACCTCCTTCTGTGATTCTTATTCAGTGAATACAGCATATGTATTTTCACAAGGTTTCAGACATTGTGTCCAAGAAATAATGTATACAAAATTTAAAAATGCTAAAATTACCATTTTCTGATATTACACACATCAACATAATTACCTGGAAGTCCTTGAGTCTGACAATATAGTCATGTTTAATTTTCTTCAATATCTCAATTTCTGTAAGTAAATTTTCAGTTGTAGCTTTGTTCAAAGAATTCTTGAGGACACACTTGATCGCCACTACTTCACGCTGGTTTCCCTTCAAAAACACAAAAACATACCATTTCCCAGCAATTTGAGGATAACACGTTTTTGTCATGAAAATTTCACTGTCACTGGGTTCCTAATACTGGATCCTGTTGCCATTATCACAAAATGTTATTTGTGTGAGCTTCATCAAATCATGATTTATTTTTTCAATTTAAAATTATGACGCAAATTTTTCAAATGCTATAGTTCAGTGGATTAAAGGCATCATCTTTTTTTGTGGATTGGAGCAATAATATTATTACTCCAAGTTTCAGGGTGACATTCTTGCAGAAATACACGATTGTTGAATTTCTGGAGAGCTGTGACTAGTTAAATACTACTCTAGTATGATTTTCTTGTTTCTAGCAATTGCATCAAGTCATTTTTCTGTGAAGGTAGAAATATGGCAGTCTTTAATTGTATGTTAAATATTCAGCAACTGTTTTGTCTTTTTATCATTACTGAATGCACAGTTCCTCTTGTAGGGATAGGGGACTGTGCTGAATGCAGTTCCTGTGAGTTCAGTAGGACTCTCAGCAGACATTACGTAACACTGACATCCGGCAAACTCTGCATATTAGCCCCGTAGTCTGGAAACCGTAGTTCTGTATTATTTAATTGTGGCACGCCTACACGTGATTCTGACGCCGTTTCATGTGTTTACAAATCATTTACAAATAAACAACAACTGACCTGGTCATCTAAAAACAAAATATTCTGTGTTGATACTAATGATATCGCACCGTTACCTTTCTGTAAGCTTTGTACACTGTCGCATACGTTCCACTGCCCAGTTTCTCAGTAAATACGAATCCATCAAGCTTCGGCAGAAGACAGCTTGACGCTGCCATTTTGGTTCTCTCGATCTTTACTTCCGCGTCAAACGCCATCATTGGCACAGATTACGATTGCTTTCGTTTACGAATAAACCTAATCTTCATTCATAGTTTCAGACTAGTTAAAATAAAATAAATACTAAAAAAAATAATATAAAGTAAGACACACAGTTTTTATTAAATATGTGGTGTATATCATTTTTTCTATTTTTATCTTAAGTTTTGGTTGATGCAGGTACATTTTGCGATTTTATTTTTAATTAGCGACTCTGACGGTTTTGTTGGTTTTTACTCAGTATATTCAACAGTGATATTGAACATCAGTTGTTTTGTTTAAGAGAAACGTGTGTTTTGTCTTTTGTGTGTGTGTTATTTTCTGTAGTTAATAAACTCGAAACACTGTCGTTATGATCGCAGACGACGCAGACGACGCAATTGTAGGACCTCCAAAATGGCCGACTTCTGGGTTGATGACGTCACGTGAAAGACCTCTATAGTCCCAGGCAATACTAATGTCATTGTATGGACCCTTTCAATGAGTATGGCATCGAAGCATGTTCTTAGTCATATCAGCCGAGGCAATTCTATCGTTCGATATTATAATTACTTTTTTGTTTTTAATTATACCGGACGAGAAATTTCGCGCCAGGACCAGATATTTTACAAATTCAGCCTAAAGGGAAGTGGTCGTCGCGCCGCGTCCTGCTCGATATGGAACTCATAGCGACGTATACAACGCGTGTAAAATACATTGTTTAATTACATGAAATTCGAACACGCGCTGTGCGACGACCACCGCGCTTTAAATGGAATGCTGTTCATGCATTTTTGACATCTGCTTATATTTTTGCGCATTTTAGCAGTGACATTATTTCGTAGCATATTTTGTCACATTGAATCGTTTTAGCGACAGGGTGTATGTGAATTTTTTAATTATTGAAAATCTGTTGTATAAACTGATAAATTGACAGCGGTTTCCATACACACCAATAAAAACACATTCCGTCATTGAAATCCCGATAAAAACAACAACAATTTAATATATGAGCAAATACATTATATGATATTATATATACCTTTTTCATAATGTGCCACATACCAAAAATTTTGAGACATTGAGATATATGCTTATCATAATAAAACATTTGTAAAATGCCCTCTAACTAACAACATATGTTTTTTTCGCTTCATTTTGTACACCGATTGTCCAGAAATAATTTATCATAAAATAACAGAATTGACACGGCTGGACCAATATAATATCGTCCCTGTCACTGGGATCTAGTATACTTTAGGGCATTTCAAAACATAAGAGATATAAGCGCAGAACTTATTTTGTGGCTTGCAATATTTACTGTCATTGTACAAAATTTATATACTGTAACATTCAGTATGTATTATTTTTAATTTCAATTGAATGAATTTATGTTCACCAATTTCATCGAGCCGAATCCAAACTTTCAACTTGTGAGGTTCATTGACTATGATATTCTCATTTGAATACATAGTATAGCATAGTGGCGCGAAGACGCACCCAATCTGATTAAAATCTGATGTTGCGTACGGGCTTTAATTGTTTTGGCTATAAACGTATTTTTATTTTATTTTTATTACTTTTGTCATTAATACCTTTTTATTTTATTATTTTACTTAGATTTTGAGATTTGATTTTAAATTCCGCCCTATATACGTCAGATCCTTGTTGGCTTTCGCAATTACCAAAACTTCGAAAAATAAATACTAGATTAAAATAAAATAAAATAAATATACAAACAAAAAATGAAAAACAAAACATAACTAGGATCTTATTCAATCAGATTGAGACGCACCTAGCTCTCATCAACTTGTTACCTATTCTTATCTTCTATTGATGTCCAAGTGCGTCACCGCTCGGGACTGCTTTATCACTCGATGCGCAACATTAACGCTATAATGTATGTTGTTTTATTCATTTGAACACATTTTGTATGATTGATTTTAGCTTGTGGTTGGCTCAAAATATCTTCCTAATGGAGCTATGTTACTTGTTTAATCATTCCTCCAGAATGCAACAAATGCAACTGCACATTTCCCACTGAGCATGAAAAAGTTGTCATATGGCGTATTGTTATCGACTGCATCAAATAAGTTTAAGGGCGGTGGTCGTCGCGCAGCGCGTGTTCGAATTTAATGTAAATCAACAATGTATTTTACAAGCGTTGTGTACGTCGCTATGAGCCCCATATCGAACAGGACGCGGCGCGACGACCATCGCCTTTTAAAGTAATTTCCAACAAAACCAGTTTCTGAGAACAATTATCGAACCTTTCGACCCCATCTGAATGTAATTTAAATTATAAATCCAGTTTGGCAACTAGATCTAATCTGTATTAGTATCAAGTTATACAATCTTATTCAGTGATCATTTCACTACATTTCGATTCTTGGCAGCTGAGAAGTGCCGGTAACCTCGGTCACAGAGGTCCCACGGCGTTCCATTACAATATCACACGTAGACTTTCACACGTACGTTGTTTGTCGAGTGGCTGACCTTCCAAACTGAGATGTAATTGAAAACATCGTTGAAGTCAGGGTGAAGTGTATTGATATTGTAACATAGCAACCAATGAAAGATATATTCGCTAATTCAGCTGTGTATTTCGCCATGAGGCAACATCTTTCACAGTCAAGTTTTGCCTACTGCTATTTCATATATTTATTTAACACTGACACTGTTTTGTGATTTAGAGCGTCGTATATTATCTCTTATCACTGCGGTTGTGTCTGGAAGTTTTATTTGAGCGAATTTAAAATGGACGACATAAACGAAAAAAAAAAAAAAAACTATGGTAAACATTCGAATACTATATATTGTACACGCACAGTTACATGGTGAAAACTCTTCTAGACTAACACCCCAATGACGTCTCATTTGATGTAATATTGAATAAAACTACTCGGGGGTAATTACTTGTGATTAGGAGGAATTATAATGGATATATGAATAAATTAAATTATACAAGTCACATCACAGTACAACAAAATAACTGAAAAAAGAAATACAAAATACATCTACAAATTAAGTTATTGTTGCGTTATGTTAATATTACCTTTAATTTATTCATTTTTTCACTAATATTTCTCATCAATTAATTAATCGTTGTCAAAATATTGTTAAACTTCATATAGTGATTTTTTTGTGTACAATGATGTATTATCCCTTCGGTGTCACCCTGTTTCATTTTTCAAATTACGGTTGCATGTTCGACATCCACAGTGATTCTCGAGGTTAGACGACTATTAAGTGTAATTGGGTAACTGAATGTTCTGTAGATGATTTGAAGAATATTATCCGATATCCCGTTCCAATGTTATTTTCTTTGTACAGTGATTATTTTATTTTATATGTGTGTTTGTGGTGTTGTCTAATTGTGTCTTTATGCACATAGCACGGGTGAACTCACATAGGTATACGTAATGTTCCGCCCAGATGGGTTACTTTTCTCTGAAAATTCCATAAATATGAGTCAACTTTTTCGGGAGATTCCTAAATCTGGGCTAGTTTTTTTTTAAAAAAAAAACTAAAAAAGTAGGCCTTTTGGACCAAATTTTGTCTTGTAATTTTTCAGACCAACTTTTCCCTCAGAACAGAGTCGATGGTTCAAGCTCGGGCGGCAGATCATCCTCTTTTTTTGAGAGGCCTCGTGAGCATGTACCAGATAACTACTAGTTCTAACACTACGTTGGGGCATGGTTGAGGTGAGGTGGCTATACGACACAATTCAAAAAATGTAACATGTTCACGCAGAATAATAAACTCAGAGGACCTTTGTCCCAATAATCTTGTGTAAACTGAAAATGTTATCATTCATTGAATTACAATGACATTCCAATTGAATTAGGTAAATATGCCCCTTTGTGTTGGAACCGTGAACCTGATTGACATTCGTCATATTCCGCTAAACATTGAATCAGTGATCGGGATGGGAACCAATTCAGCGAAAGTTTTGCACATAAACGCCCGTGGGAACACAGGAGTTGTCGTTAACACTGCAGATTGTTGACATCGCTGTAGTTATTGTCGGCTGGTTTGTAATCTTATTGGTGGTTCAATTTAAAATTAATAATAATAATAATAATAATAATAATAATAATAATAATAATAATAATAATAATAATAATAATAATAATAATAATAATAATAATAATAATAGTAGTAGTAGTAGATTTATCATGCACATCCATTCACTTTGCAACAATATGATGTAGGTATAGACGCCGTTTGTTGTTTCTCTATATCGTCTTTCGTCAAATTATAACCGAGTCGTAATACGCACAAGGTGAATGAAACGTACCATGTAAGCCAGGATATACTGATATAAGCATGGTTTATTCAGATTAGGCCAGAATTTCTTCACTTCGACGATGAGCGTAGCTGATGGGAGGAGTATGCTATGCCAATCCCGGTGATGCGAAGTTTCATATTTCGGAACTCCTAATTGTATTTCAAAGTTGGGGGTATAGTAAAGGCCTTACTATACTGGAACAACAGGTTTAATTTAATGAGTAACCACTGTTTTCAATACCTGGTTTCAATTTATCATGGATTTAAATTTAACCTCCCTCGGTGACGGGTCACTGAGATGTATATAGCGCCAAACTGAATTAGGTCAGCTCTACCTTTAATTAGATTTATATTAATGATGATTTTTCTTATTTTGAAACACGCAAAGAATTTCTCAACACCAACTCAATTGCCACCCCTATTTCTGCATCCGTCCAATAGCTGTCAGTGTTCTGAAAATACGGAAGCTGTCAACTAAACCTGGCTACGTCATCAGACGCAAAGTATTAGTTCACTGAATTCGACGCCATTGACTCATTCATATACTTATACGTACGTTTACAGCACACAGCATTACGATGGCACTGAAGTTATTCACCTGCTCATCTCTGTTCCTGCTCTTTTTCTGGATGAAGTTTTCCGCGCAACAACGTGAGTATTGGAAAATGTGTGTACTTATAACAACCAGCATTTGTTTATTATTGTTAGTATGAGATATGCCTATTACCGGTAAACTTTATTGATATGAACGTACTTTGTACCGCCGTCAAGGGTGTGACAATATAATTAAATGTGAAGAGACGACATTGCGACGACGACTGTTCATATTACGTGCAATTCATATGCCTATACCGTGAACACAGAATGTCACATCTGTGCCTGACGCCTGAACTTTTTGACTGAATGAGATTCGGAACATGCACACGAACCAATTAGTACTTTACCGAGCGTCGTGGGTCTCGTACATCTAGACTCGGGATTATAATTGTATACCTCTTGTAATCGAAATCTCGAGTTTGATTAAAACCATCGACTGAGTATTCAGAAGTTCAACACATAATAATTCGTGAAATGAAATTGAAAATCGTGGAGTACACGTCGAGGACCTGCTTGAGAACTTATTACGTGTATATCTCCAATGATGATATAATGTGAAACGTGCAAACCCACACGAAAGGATACCTCGTGGTATACTAAACGGTAGAGATAGAATGAAACAATTCTATATAGTGTATAACAGGATATTTGTCATGAAGCGAGTTTCTGCTTGTTAATTTTCATCGCTGTCTTGATTTTGATTTTTTCTTACAAAAACCGACTCATCTGCGGGAAGTTTTCGGAGTCAGTGGTTTTCTTATTTCACACGGTAAGTTGTGAATAATCCACGGTGACCTTGGTTTGTTCTTGGGAGTGTTGAAATCTATCGAATTACACTGTATACGTAGGAGTCACGGATGGAGAACGTCATAGCCACCACAAACTATAGGACTCGGTGACTGGCCACGAGAAATGTGGTCGCGAGGAGAAGGAATGGGGAGAGTGGAGGGCAGGGATTTAGCATGGATGTCTCAAAATCAGTGTATATCTTCAGTAAACTGTTCTCTCAGCGTACTTCACAGTACGTTCAGAACAACTGTTGCCGACAATTCACTTGTAAAACATGCTCATAAAATTATGAATCAGAGATTTGAATGAAGTTTGATAGTTTGAAGATGTACAAATTCGATGTTACACGGCCTATTTTTTAAATTTGTCTGTTAAATATATATATATTTACAAAATCTGACATTTCCATCGCCCAAGGACTACATTGACTGGGCAGATATTTTTTTCAGCATAACCCTAACGAATTCTAACGATTGAAATTGTGTTATTTTGTGAAAATGCGCATGCGCCAATGTGATGTGCTATATTAGTTGGCATATTTGTTGTGCCATCTGTTGTCTGTGATTGTACCATATTGTCAATATCTTTGTTTCGATTGATGACGGACATCCTGATGTTTTTTTTGTTTTTTTTTTTAATAACAATTTTTTTTATTCCGCAATAAAGAAAAAGATACAGAGCAGATGACAAAATCCCCCCTGGAAGTAAATGTATATGACAAACGCTGTCTGGTATACGGTGGTGAGACAAAAACAAAAACAAGATTAATTTACTTGTATTAAGCCAACCAATTATTTAAGAGCTCCCATTTACGATAGTGATATTGTTCCTTTCCTTTATACAGGGCTATTTCCAACTCTATTTTTCTATTTTCACGGACTAGTGATTTAAACGCAATTACATAATTATTATAATCCTCATATCGTAGATTTGGAGATAGACATATGAGATAAAACATGTCCATATTTGTCGTCGTCGTCGTCGTTGTTGTTGTTAACTTCGCCAACACTTTATTCTTGATTACTTTTATGACTGGAACTAAATCTGGGTATAGTATAAAACAGTATAACACCTCATCTGAGTTATATTATACGATATGAATAAAAAAATAAAAACAATCACAACTGGTGAATTGAGCCTGATGGCCCCATGGGCTAAAATCTGGTGACAAGACTTATTGTTTTCATTCGCATTATTTATTTTTAAAACCGTGACTAAATTACTGTAATAATAATGTTGATTCATTCACGTTTCTTGGTGACATTGCAGCTGCAGAGGAATGGAATAAACAGGCAAGAGACGCTATCCTAAATTCTATAGAATTGCAAAATCTCAACACAAACATTGCCAAAAACGTTATATTCTTTTTGGGGGATGGCATGGGCATATCTACTATAACAAGTGCTAGAATCCTGAAAGGTCAGAATGAAGGTCATCCCGGCGAAGAAACACAACTGTCGTTTGATAAGTTTCCCCACGTGGCACTGGCCAAGGTAAGACTGCCTTTAGTGACGATAGAAAGATATGTTGGGCTACTGTTATTGAACAAGGCCAAGGTTCAAAACTGAAAATGAATGCGGTTGATTGTGTTCAAGTTCGTTCCCGGTGTTCGTCATATATAAACAGCAGTATCCGCAACTGTCGCTATTTCATTTGTAGTTGACTTTTTTATTGGAATTTCACAGAACAAACTCTATTACAAAGACCAGGAAATGTGATTTTATTTTTTTAAATTAACCTTATTTCAGACGTACAACACTGACCAGCAAGTAGCTGATTCGGCAGGAACGGCCACAGCATATATGTGTGGCGTGAAAAGTAAAGCCGGAACGATCGGCGTGGATGACAGGGTGCAAAAGGGGAATTGTCAATCAATAAAGCACGCTAAAGTCAAATCATTTGTGGAAATTGCCGCCGATGAAGGTATAACATATTATACAGTGTTCTAGTTGAGAGCTGCGCCCTCTTGCGGTAATTACAACCGGATGTCAGTGGCCGCAACAAACCAAGATTAAAGGGCGGTAGTCGTCGCGCCACGCATGCGCGAGATATATGGGTCTCATATAAAGCTTTAATTATGTACTTTTTAGTTGATTGGAAAGTATCGAATGAGTCACCGGTGGTAATAAGTGCAAGTCGTGTCAAGGTTTCATTACAAGAGCGCATTTGATTGTGGGAAAATCAATGTTTATCAACACAAATGTCGCACATGCGCAGCGCGACGACCACCGCTCTTTAATTTACTTTTTTAGTATCCATTGACACACACAGCGCTTTAGGGTAGAAATGTGTTTCCACCATATTTTATTTTGCAAAGGGTTATGAGATGAAAATAAAACACAGAAACTGGCCAAACTTCTGATTTAATTGTTAATTTGATTTACTTAAAACAATAATCAAACTGTATTACAGGAAGATCCGCCGGGATTGTAACCAGCGCCCGCATAACCCATGCGACACCAGCCGCAGCCTACGCGCATGTGCCAGAACGGTCATGGGAAAGAGATGCACAGGTACCTGGAAATGAAAGAGCCGCGGGTTGTACCGATATCGCCTCTCAACTCGTACAAAAGGCCCGCAAATTTCAGGTTCGTGATTTCTGAGATGATGGTCTGTATTGAGGTGTATGTTAAAGGGCGGTTGTCGTTGATATGCGACTCAGCGACGTACACAAAACGTGTAAAATACATTGTTTGTTTACATGAAATTCGATCACGCGCTGCGCGACGACCACCGCGCTTTAATTGGTGAGTCTTTGATAACATAAACTGTTATAGAGATTGGTAAAACACATGACATGTAATACAAGAAACTTTGTGTTATTTTAATGACTCTGTGTCGGCCGACGCGCAGCGCAGGCCGATGCGACCGCGTACTGTCTGAGTGCACACTTTGAGGTATCATCGTGATAAACGTATTATTATACACCATGGGAATGCCGAAATCCAAATGTGTTTCGAACAGACCTTTTTTGTGTGGGGTCCGATCAAACCCTGGGGGCTGTCGTGTTTGTTTTTAGAGGACGCTTACGCACGTAATTGTTCCCTATTTGGAATTCGCATTCCCTAATATAGTAGTATGCAAATACTCAGTACAACACCGCAAAATTACGACACCGTGTAACTTATGGCGTCACGTTGACAGATAATAATAATTATTATTATGGCATGATTGTCGTTATAGTTGTGTGCGATTTTAAATACTATTTTGTTATTATTAATAATGGTCTATAATTCACTACTAGACATATAGTGAATATTGTGGCGTACATGTGCATTCATATTGCACGCACCTATATAATCAATATATATACTAAGTATACATTTTTACTTGGATGTACATTTAATTACACAGTATTGTTAGGAACAATCACATCCTCGCTATGCATACATTATTAGGTAATAGAAAATAGCGATAACCACCTTATACAACCATATTTTATAAATTCAAGAAACAACGCGAATTTAGACACGGCACATGAGACAGACAACTATTTACACTTTCAACACAGCGAGCAAGTTTTGCTGACCTTATACAATACAAGAAGTGAAACGATATATTTAAATATTAGAAGTGGGCATGCGCAATGTAACGCATCGGCTGGCGCGATTTCCTCTCTTCACGAACTTCCAGTAGAAGCACTTCCATGGAACATTATACCTTGCTTGTGCACGTGCCCTCCTTGCATCCGTCACATATACGTGACCATGATCAACACCAACTGCAGTATTAAAGCCGGGGAGTCGTCACCTGCGCATGCGTCAGATGGCCATAGCGTGTCATTGTTTACAAACAAGGTCTACCTATGGGCCCTTGCGTTTTTAGCGTGTGTTGTTATCGTCGCTTGGGACTCAATTCCCGCGCGTGCGCAGGTTACAACCCTCCCGCTTTAATAACTATGGTCAATTAGACATAGAAATTATCGGTTATGACCCACACTTCATGTTTCAGACATGTTTGATACACTATGGTGTTCCCTTATTGAAACGCTTTTAAAATACTAGTATATATAGTGAACAATAATAAGTCCATATTTACACAAACATATCAGGTGGTAATGGGCGGTGGAAGGCAAGAACTCATGCCAACGGCTCACGGAGATCCCGAATACAGTTACAGGAGAGGTAGTCGTGAGGATGGGCGTGATCTCATCAACGAATGGTTTCACTCGCTGCCAGACGGAACTGATAACATGTATGTAGTGAACAGAGAACAGCTGCTTGACGTGGACGTTAACAAAACAGATTATTTATTAGGTAATTTTCATAAATTTAAATATAACTCTTTATCCACAAACGTTAGCTTTTTCTACGTTTAAAGCGCGGTAGTCGTCGCGCTACGCATGTGCGAGATATACCGTTGCGCAGATCAACGAGTACGAACTGACACGTATCCAAGCTTGAATTAGGTAATTCATGTGATTGGAAGGTATCGAAGGAGTTACCGGTGGTAATCAGTGCAAGTCGCGCCCAAGTCAAACCTCATACTTGTGATTTCCATTTGAAGAGCGCATTGTATTGTGGAAAAATCAATGTTTATCAACACAAATGTCGAACATGCGCAGCGCGACGACTACAGCGCTTTATTAACCACTAACAATGAATACATGGCAAAAAACAGAAACGTCTTTTTTTTTTACTAACTTGGCGTTTACGATCATCAGGCTTATTTGAACCAAGCCATATGCTGTACCACGCTGAAAGAGATACAGTAGGAGCTGGAGATCCTAGTCTAGCTGAAATGGTGCAAACATCTATCCAAGTATTACGGAAGAATGAAAATGGATTCGTCTTATTCGTAGAAGGTGGGACATTGTTTGATGGCGCTCTTCTTCGATTAAATTTAATGACAGCGCCACGAACGATGAGAAATACGACATGATTACACGACACAATAATATCCATCATATTAAATGGTATATTTAATTACATCATATCTTTCATCTTTTAAATGACTGAATTGCATTTGATTGACACGTGCGCAATTTCCTTGAAATACAACAATTACTTAAGAAAAATGTAAACGTATACAAATAATGTTATCGACATTTTATCGTGATACTGTTTGATCTTTATAAACTGTTACAGCTGGTAGAATCGATCATGCCCACCACAAGGCAAGAGCGTACTTAGCCTTGACAGATACCCTTGCGCTAGATGAAGCAGTGGCCAAAGCTAAGGAGATGACGAACAACGAAGACACGTTAATAGTAGTCACTGCCGACCATAGTCATACCAATAGTATAGGCGGCTATCCTACCAGAGGAAATCCAATATTAGGTAACACTTTCGACTGATAGTTTCCATGTAGAACTACGCTATTTTCAACAGTATCTTCACTGTATGATTTCCTCAGTTAAATTAGGTTTGTATGTGAAATGTTTTCAGAGTATGTACATTGTGTATATCGTTACTGACCAGACACATTCAATTTACCAGACTATTGAACAACTAGGAAAAGTGAAAAAAATACTTCTTATCGCCAGCGTAAATGCGTAATTATTTTTTTTACAGAAAAAGTAATTTTTCACCTTTGATTGAGTAACGCGTCGTAGAATGCAGATACTGGCATGCAAAATACACTTGTGAAAAGCTTGAAGTCTGGCGATTCTAAAAATATATACTTTCCCGGGTCTATTTGTAGTCATTTAGTCACAATTAGAAGATGAAAACAAGTATGCAAATAATAGTCTCGCTACCTTAAAGCTTCCTTCCCATATTTTCATCGTCGTACGCCACGGTCTCAACCTCTTTTACGGCAAGCCTATACGTTGAGTCTCGAAGCGAAAATAAACTCTGGCGGCGAGAATGCATATTTTATGAACTGCAGTAAACTTCTTACCGACCCCTGACCCCTGACCCCTGACTAACCCCTGCTAGCAGTATAAGGGTTTGGAGTTGTGTACATTTCATGACAAATCTTACCCTGAAATCGATTTCAGAACACCCTCCTGAAATAATAAAATATCAAAACGCACGTATGCAAAATGAGATTTGAGAACGATTTAGTGATTAGTCACCACGACCCTGTTTATGTAAGTGCTCTAATATTTTACCATTTGTTGCCATATCAACTAAATTCACTATGGTAATCACAATAACCATTGGAAGGTGTTGTGTATTGGAATACAGTGTGGGAAAGCAACGTTCATCTGTTTGTGAAGTCCGATATGGCTGACAGTATTTTTATTTTTTTTATTTTGCTTTTATTTATCTATCAGGCAAAAACGATAAGGAGAGGGCAAAAGATGGTCTACAGTATACAACTTTTTTATATGCAAACGGTCCAGGCGGTGAAGAAGTTCGCCAAAGTTATTTAAATCACGGACGAAGACCCGATATTGAACATATTGATACAGGTAATCGCCGACCATTTCTCTATGTAGTACGGACTCCTGTCACGAACACAAACTGTTTCCGGTTTCACACGATGATAATATAATCCTCTTTCTCACTACCTTTGTAAGGATGAAATGATTGTTTCAAAGTGTTTATGTATTGTGATATCAGTTTAAAGGGGAACCTTTCAAGTCCAGGGATTGCATCAAATAATCATGGAACACTATTGTTTATTTTGTTAATCTATCTTTTGTTATCCGCTGTAATTTTAATCCAGAAAGTAAATTTGTTGTGAGATTAGGCTTAACTGGGAGTGCCTATTTAAGTAAGCCTTAGATTTTTGAATAGAATTTTAGTGGGAAAGGGCGGACTGATACATTAGAACGAGTAGTGAGTAGTCGGATGGATATACCCTTTTAATAGCAGCGTAGTTCACCCGGCTTAATTGTTATGACTTTCGGTGATGGCGCTGTTGATTGATTTTACAAACTACATTGTAGAAGACAAATCATTCATTTTAAAGCGGGATGGTCGTCACCTGCGCACGCGCAAGAATTGAGTCTCAAGCGACGATAACAACACACCCAAAAAACGCAAAGGCTCATGGATAGACGTTTGTTTGTAAACAATGACACGCTATGGCCATCTGACGCATGCGCAGGTGACGACTCCCCCGCTTTAATTTGTATTGTAATGTTGGCTACTTGACTCACTGGCTTTGCCTTTCAGATTCGTACATTGTTCATTTATTGTCTATTAGTTATAATCAGTGTGCTAGCGGTATGAGTGAAGAATCAACGTAAACCCCACGTCTCAAATATGGAAATAAACAATTGTCGAATTTCCATGATATAATAAAAAATATCCTGTGGCATGAAATTGCAATTCTACTTTTTCAATACTTGGGGTACGCTAGTTGTAGAAACGTGGTTCTAAACCACGAGCTTTCTTTTATTGAACAAATACAAGAAATAAGTAAATCGATAAAAAATTGAAGCCAATTTCGACGAGGCTAAATCCACTGTCACCGTGATTAAATCTTTCTCAAAATAGCCATATTGAGTTAGATTTCCATTTACGCGACGGATGTGAACTGCCAATAATAGATACATGTACTAGTATTTGCGCAATTCCGCCCATGGTTACGACTGAGGGCGCACTCCACACACATTCATCATGTCGAGTAATATACGTTTATTTCACTTGTAGGTGCGAAAGATTACCGCCCGCAGGCAGCTGTTCCATTGCAAGACGAAAGCCATGCTGGAGAGGACGTTGCTGTGTATGCGACAGGTGCATTTGCTCATCTTTTTCACGGCACACAGGAACAAAACTATATCGCCCATGCCATAAAATACGCGGCATGCATTGGAGAATATGCGGATCGTTGCAATGCCAAAACAACTGCGCCAACTACGGTGGAGAAAACAACAACAATTTCCACTGGTGTCACAGAAAATCATCGCAAATACAAACCTGTATCTACACAGTCGCCCAGGAATGTGAACTCTACCGTGGTTGACTATTTAGATGAACAAGATGACGATGGACACTCATACAAACCTGTCACTTATTTACCACCCAAAGTTGAAATCCATTGTATTATGACGCCCTCATCGTCAGTTTTACTCTTAGCATCATTTCCGATAATTATTGTCACCCTAACAACGAGTTTCTATTATTTGTTCGTATGATTTTCTCGTGTGAGAAAGTAGATACGAACATGTTCATTCTGAGAAATGAAATATTTAATATGTAGGTTTGCAATATGATGTACCATCAAGTTAAACATTTCATGAGTTTATTGTAGTAAACCATAAAACTCAAAGAAAGCTCTGAAAGAGCCCCTGTGTGCTGATGGTATCCTCGGGGGCGGACATCCGGGCATTTTCTACCGCCTGGCAACCCTCGCGGTGAAAACAAAGACCAAAAACTCGCAGAAAACGGTACTTTGCGATGGTTGTTGAGAGTCCCCTGAACAGTGTAACAAGATTAGCCCTACGTGTGTAACATATATGAATTTGGTTGTTCGGGATTACTTCAAAGTTGAGTTTGTGTTGTTTTCTTGAGTTTTCACCGGCTCCACCGGCGTTCCACAGCAGCGCGCACAAAGCCCATAGAAATACGTGGTACAGTGGTGCGCGTCTTAGCAACGTAGAACGTCCGTGACGTAGCTCCGCCCCCGAGGATTGGATGCATGAAGTAAGGGATACTGTTACAGTATTTACTATATTAGAAGCCAATCGTAAATACACATAAAGCAACAATTGCGTTTATTGCATGCAAAATTATTGAAATATGTCTTATTTTGACCATAGACTTGTCTTTGTTCTTTCTAATAGAGCAAATACAGCATTTAAAAATATAACTGCAAGCAATAATTAGGGTGATTATATTATACATATTTAATTTGAATAATGACCATATATGATGACTTGATATTTTGATTATATATCTTGTCAGACAACAAAATTATTGCACCGGTTGCATGTCCAAATCTGCAACAGTAAGATATTACAATTATGCTTATTAATGAGGTCACATGACCATATATAATCATCTGATATCATATCAGATCACATTGTCAGATACTGGTTATAAACAGAACAATAATATGGCTTATGGCTAAGGATTTATGTACCAAGTTTCATTGAAATCGGTTGAATGGTACTTGCGAAAAACCGAAAATACTTAAAATCAGATAAATAATGTGAAAATTAGGTTATTAATATACACGAATTTAAACTAAAAACTAATAAGGTTTGCGCATTATCCCAAAGCATCTATGTACCAAGTTTCATTGTAATCGGTTGAATGATACTTGAGAAAAAGCGAAAATTAGATAAATAATGTGTAAATTAGGTCATTAATATACACGAATGTACAATATACATCTATGTAAGATTCATTGACATCAGTTTGATAGTAGTACGCGAGAAACAACGTGAAAAGGCTTAAAAGTTGATTTGCAAATTGCATTTACATATATTACTGTACGATGGGGTTTCTAATTGTAGTGTGGGACCCACTATAACACACGTTTCCAATATAACATCAATCTATGTATACCGTATAGTAAGGGATGACGTCAAAAGATCGATGTCGGATAAAAAACTTAATTCCTTTAGTTTTTTTTTCCAAACCCCCCTACCCCCCACTGAAACTTAATTGATAAATATTGGTCATGGCTTCATACTACATTCACTATTAAATACAAATTGATAATCGGACAGTAGTATTGCGGAACAGTTGGTTGTCGGGTGGGTGTAAACAGATTTTACAAATGCACCTCATTTGACGCACAGATTTACACTCGAACAAAACCATTTTCTCGTCTTAGATGTGTTTTTTTCCTTTTCGGTTATTTCTGTCCATGATTGGATAGAAAAAAAACGAACTACAAATACTCCAAGATTTTTTGACTTCATTAAAAAAATAAAATCGTTTTTGTAGGATGAAAACTTTTTGAGGTCAAAACCCCCCACCCCCAAACTAAAGGAAATAAGTTTTTTATCTGACATCGATCTTTTGACGTCGTCCCTAACTATGCCTATATCACAGTCAGCTGGCGCACACGTGATAATAAAATAAATACGATATTTACTATATGGGGGCCGCCATCTTGAATGCAGCGAAAACTAAATAAGAGACAAGTTGTGAAACGCGTTTTTCAGATTCCTACAAATCAGGTCAAAAATACCAATCTTTCACAAAAATACGGTCCGTTGGGGTTATATTAAGCCAACCGATAACAAAATTCGGCCTAATTCGTCGTTTTTGCGTGGAAAAATCCCTTGCATACGAACACCTAATTACGCGAAGAACATAGAACACTAAGCCGGGGTATTTGAAACCGAAATTGTCATCTAAGCGTTAGGCCGTCGCTGATTGGCTGCTGAGCTGGAATGCAAATTTTTAGTTTCAAAGAAAATTTTTCGAAAAATAAAATAAAATAAAGGAAGGTTTCATATTGTACTACTGATATCTGTCATCATGGTAGTAATTGAACAATTGACCTTATCAAAAAAAATGATTTCAATAAAATTGTCACAGCTGACAAGGAGAAATGTCAACGTTTGTGCACACAATAATATTGTAAAATAAAAACTCAGAACAACAACTTGAGTTTAATGGGTATGACGCCAATACACGTACATGTAAATGCAATTAAATATGCAACGGCAAGCGACTTATTTATTACTCATCAACAATATTTATATTTTAAATATTTCTGTTTTTATTTTTATTTAAATCTTGTTGATTCAGAACATGTTTTTTTTTACTTCTAATGACATTAGGGCTTGTTGCCACGGCCCCTGCCAACATTACCAGTACCATCACCACTGACAGTGCCGGTACCCGAGATTATGCCACTGATGTCAGCGTAGTTGATGCTTATGCGAGTATACACATCTGGAAATCCAGATGTTCCACAATCTCTATGTCCCCAGCTTGTAATACCATGGACTTCCCATGCTCCATCCGTCTGGCAAATCAAAGGTCCACCGCTATCGCCCTGAGAAAATAGACCAGCATATATATTAATATCGATCTAACAAACCCAATTTGCACACGGAAGCAAATAGTATAATACAACTATAGCAACACTGAATCTCCTACGTCTGTTTCTTCATCTATTACGGTGTCAGGAAATGGGATATCTTAAATTAGAATTTGAGTGCTCCCACGACAACTGACGAGATACCGCGTGGAACTACCTGACATGTAAGCGTGGAGAGAGAGAGTGAAGAGATCTATGTATTATTAATTACGAATTGGTTCTGTTCTTTCTCATGATAGTGCCACGTGCCGTTAAAACAATAGGCAGACCAACCAGACTTCCAATTAACATGAAAGTGCAAAAAAGATAGTTAGATAATATTGTGCATAACGTCATATTCAAACCGTATGTTGTATATTACAATAAGATACTAGTTTTAAAGATATAAATTCAGTCCAGTTCCAACCAACCAAGAGATGGGATTGGCGTAGTACCGGCTGTTGTATTGGCGTTTATCAAATCGAATGTTGATGTGAGTGCGCCAACTATGTCCTGACATATTTGTCGAATCACGTGATATTTGACTTCGTGATGCCAGAGGGGATAATTTGTTTAGTGTCATGACGTACCGGGCATACACCTTGTGGCCCATTACCAGCACAAAGCATATTATCTGTCACTGTCACACCACTCCATTTAGCACTACATTCTGTATTATTTAATGCAGATACAGCTGTGCCTTGAAGATATCGAGAAGTACTTCCTGGGAAAAAAAAAACACATTTAAACAATTATTGTCATTGTGAATTGACTTAACTCAACTCCACAACAAAATTAACAGCATATGTACCATTTTATATCAATTGTCACGGCAATATATTATGCAAAAATCGTTTAAATTTTCTTAACATCTTACTTAGGACTCGTTATATTCACCATACTATTATGATTGTAGCTAAAATGACATATTTACACCTTACCCATCAATGTTCATATAACCAAACAAATTACATATTGTTATTTACAAATGTGTCTGAAATCATCTCTGTAGAGTTGTAGAATTGTATATTGTCTGTGCTTTGTTGAATCTACCCCAAGTCATCCTCTTAATATGTTTACTACTAGTATATCTGTTCACTGACATGACTGTCACACATACTGAAAAGTGATGACGAATTGTCATTGGAAAAAAACAATGTCATTGTATATGCGATGCATGTGTGAGATGGCGACACTTCTATTTTAAAGGAATAACACGACGTGAATGAATAACACGTACCGGATGATGTTGTCCCCCATCCTGTAATTACACATTGTTCTCCACTCAGTATTTTTCTTGTGCCTAAGGGTATTGTGGCTATTTTGGTATTGGTGATGTCTGCCGCAGTTTTTAATTTGAGCAGAGCATAATCACTATCAAGCGAGTTCTTGTTATAGTTTTCACTGACTGTTACCGACTCCACCGAGTACAGGATTCCATCGTCGCTACTGGAACGATCATGCTCACCAAGCCAAACTTCATAGTTTCTTGGCTTTGCCCTGCAATGTAGGATATCGTTCACTTACATAATTTAATAAGCAATATGTATAAGCAATGATATTTGCGGCAATGTATGTATAAGTTACAGAGCGGGTGTAATTGGTGATTTTCCGTACAATTGCGAGATCTCGCGAGATGCATGAAAGACGCGCGTCGAACGTCTGCCGCAAAAATCGAACGATTTGATTTTGAACTAGAATTTCTTTATTTCGCAGCTTACATTGACCGGCCGATCTTCGACAGAGGAATATTGCTTCCGAATACATGCTGCTGCATTCTAACTTCCACGATGCAACTTGTTATCATAGACTGTGATCGCTTCAAAATAAACTCAATACTTTTTTCCATGTATCCCATTGCGAATACACTAAAGATTCTTAACGAAATAACAGGTATAAATGCCACAATTTTATCTGACTTTTATTTATTTGTGGTATATTAGTTGTTCTGGCCATCACGATCTAGTTAACGTGGTTCCAAAATTTGGTTACAGATACTTCTTCCGGCAAATCATTTCATATCGTTCATATTTTCGGCAGACAATGCATCTTTTTACGTGAGTACTACCTTCTAAGTTTTCGCAAGCTCAGGCATATGCACTCCACAAACTTGATTTCTGCCTCAGTACTAAATCAGACTTGTCTTCATCTGAATCGTCATTACTTTCAAACAGTATGTCAACAAGCAAATAAATATTATGACCAAACATTAGTGACTTAGGAGTTTTACCAATGGATAATTTACAGAAGATAATAGAACCAGTGAACGATGCTAACAGAACTTGTTTACGTTCATAGTCGTCAAATCTATGCATATCACATTAGATGGTTAAGTGTACTCCAAACACTTCCAAAATAACTTTCATGAATCAAATTACTACGAAATGAACTATGCAAAGAATTAACAAACTGTTTCTCATAAACATCAACATTTACTAGGAAATTAGACCAAATTAAAATATTGCATTCAGCATGCCAAATTATGCGAAAAAGTATGGTTCTCAATTTTTACCCTAAATGCCCCTACCATCAACATATTGTGGAAATGGCACTAGACTATATACATAATGCACCTGTTGCTATCAACCATACACAAGATTGTTACAAATGTTCCAAACTTTAGTTTTGCAAAGTTGATACAATGTTGGTGCATCGTTGCAATGCATTTTCTGACATTGTCTGTAAATACGACACCAAAGCGAGCTCGTTTGTAATCTACATACATTTCTATCATTATTTATTTCAGGAGAGTGAGAACCCAAATCGAGTAGTGAAGTACAACATGCTTGGATCATTCAAGTTCTTATATAATTAAAGACAACCTATACATACCCTCCACAATGTGCTGCAGTCAGTACAAATAACGGGTCGACGAGAATACCGCCACAAATATACCATGCGTTACCTTCTTTAAAGTATAACAATACCTGCCAAGGGTTCGAATGTGGCTCCACAATAGTTCCGCCTACTATGTTGGTTGTTCCATTCGATATCGGTTCTGTAAAAAAAAAAATTGAAAAAGAATATAGAAATAATGCTCCATTCATGAGCAAATCTTTTGTGGATAAACTTAATGCTATTAGTTAGTGTTTGGGAAGGCACAATTTTGCTGTATGTAATCAAACATCGCTCATGTACACAAATAAGTGAATTTACTTACCAAATTCTCGTAATAAGTCTCTTACATACGCAATCTGTAAAGAAAAAAAATTAAACAAATTAATGCGGTGAACAGCATCCATCGAGAATAATAATCTGAAAAATCATAATTCTTATTTCATAAAATAATTCCTAAATTCATAACACAGTAGTTCAATTCAAAGTAATAGTAAAGAGATATATTTGCAATATATTTCTAGGTATATGCATATAATTTAAAGAGGTCACAAGACCAGCTATTAGTTTATTCAAATCTACTACAAATATGTGCACACAACACGTAATTGAAATAAAATGTGTATCTATAATACATCTTAAATAATTTAGATATGTAACTAATTAATGATAAGTTTATCCAAATCACTTCATTGTGTGCACAATTGCATAGGAATTGAATATGTGCACAATGCATGTGCATATTTGGTTTTTATTAAGTATGTATGTATAACAAATGTCTGAGATTTACGTAGGTACATAATAAATGACAAGCACGACAAACCAGCAGTTTATCCTTGCTGCAAATTATTAAGCAGCTTGTCTGAAAGTGTCAGAATATTGTTAAGCATGAATAATTATAGAAGATATGGTCATGGCTTCTGAATGGTCAGTGTCAAGAGTGCTGGAAATTTGACGACGATTTGTTGATGGGGGATTTATGTTGCTCACATAGTATTTATTTCATTAAAGCAGTCAATGCATAAGTAGCTAACGCATTACAACATGGAGTTGAATTCCCTACAATTATTGCACTAATGATTGCAATGCATTCAAAATGATTCTGCTTGTCCTCCATTTCATCAAACATTTTTCATATTAAGCCAATCGCATAGCCCCGTTCCCGTGCCATAACGACATATCTGAGGATATTACTACCACTAACATATACAACTGCTGAATTCAGCACGTGTTATATCAGGGACGAAACAGTTAAATAATAATGTTTGTGAGGGCAATATCACGGTTTGTTGCCTGCCCAGGGGATGACGGTCATGTCCATGATATTGATGGTGCCAGAGGTTAATGATAATTTCATGACACATGACATTAAATAAAAATGTATATTACATATTATATTGCCCGCCAAGCGGATATTACACGGTGTATCACATGGATGACGTCACTGAAACTACTTCGCAACGATACTGCGCATACAAAATTGTCGTTGGCTGTACTGCTGCTGCCCCGGCCACTGTTACTTTCCGATTTGCTTTCAAGGTTTTGAGGGAACTTTAGCCATCTGAAATAGACGAACGTGCCAGAATGGATAATACGCAAGAAACTCTGTTTTGATGTTTAGGATATTCTTTATATAAAGCATTTAAGTTTTAACAAAGTAATGAAACTGTCAACTTTGAAAGACTAATCACTGAAGAGTTCCGGATTTGCGACTCTCTGTCCTCGTTGCAACAAACTAATTTTTTCCAGCTAGTAATGCCTCAATTGCATGGTTTTGGTGATCGGTGAGGATTTATATCATGAAAAACTGCGTGATATGTTCTGCTTGGGTCGCCTGATAAAAAAAAAACCGCTCTACTGTATTTTGATACAAGATAGCTGATTGGCTGTTTATTTTTGTTGCATCTCCTCTCTTTGTCGTTAAGGTCGCCTATTAAATACACACTCACTGTTAGTGGTTCAATCTACCAAGGGTTAGTTTGGAGGGATGACCCGAAACAAACATTTCTTGGCTGGCAAAGATGACAGATACTAAGTGTGGCACGTTCGTGTGAAAGCCATAGCAACTCAAGCACGATATCGGTAGAAACTATCGATCGACTTATATTACCTTTATTCGGAATAAAACAGGGGAAATCCTGTGAAAATCGAAACACCAGAGCAAAATTCACACCGCGGCCATTTTGAAACAGGGATCCGAGCATGCGCTGTTCCCAAAAAATAATGGGCGTGCAGCAGTCTCAAAATACCGTGGATGAATATCTAGGCCCAGTACATATTTACGATAGCTACCGCACGTGTTTTTAAAGTTGGATAAAAATATTTGAAATTGAATTTTCCTGAAAAAGAGCAATTCAGCTAATATTTTGCAATATAAAAACAGCAACAGCAACATCAACATCTGCGTCGGTTGTGCATTAGTACGTAGTAACAATATGGTTATAGCTTATCCTGGATTAATAATGTGTATGATAACACCAATTAACAAAGCAATGTAGGCCTTACCCTTGGAGGGCTGGCAGAAATTCCCAAGACGAAAATCCAAATGCAAACCAAACTCAACGACATAATGTCAATCTATGGGAAAGACAAGATAATTATTAGAAAGAAATTGATTGAACACAAATTATGTGTAATCCTCGAAAACTAACAGTATTTCGCGTTGAGATATGGCGTATATAGATCATAACAAATAAATGAACTGTAAACATGTCGGAATTTATAATTCATTTAGGCCAGGCTTTTTTTATTCCTTGTTTCTCGAGTTTTTATAAGGCAATTTTTTTGAGGAGGGCGAAAAAATAAAGTTATTTCTTTTTTTTCCATTAGATTTGTGTGATTCTCAAAGAATTGTAAGTGAGATCATTGATCGAAGAGAAGAAATGAAATAAAATGTTATTCCATGTATAACCTTGTTGCTCATCTGCGCGAAACTTCGGTACTTTAATCATGATACTCCCACGATAATGCAACTTGGGTTGTTATGCGGCGGGGGAAAAAAATGAAGATAAAAATAATTTTTTGCACTTACAAGTCGACGGGCGCGAGAAATTACGCTGAAATAAAAGTTTATTTTTATTTCATTTTTGGCTCCTCTTCATTCGGCGGGTTCGCGAAACAAGGGATAATAAAAGTCTGGCCTTATAACTGCAGGCACATGATAGTGGAAGCACAATTTATTAGGTAACATAAAATGTGACTGACGTAACTTAAATGTTCTTACTACACGTTTTTAATGTAGACAATATGCAATGATCGACCCTACAATATCAACTTTATTAAACGGGCGTGGGAACTGTCATTTGTTCAGAGCCTTGACGAAATATCCTGCTTATTCTATCCACTGAATGTAGTATAATATGGAGCAATAGAAAATGTGACCATAAATAGAGAGAAACATCTGATGATAATTGACCATTTTTGTCTCTCTCAAACCAAATTATTCGGATTCGCCTTACCGTTTCTAAAGACACACTCTGCAACAGGCCATAATTTGAGAGTTCAGAATCTTTTTTGCTACAAAGCGCCTGGCTTATTCCCACTTCAGGTCAATAATGGTAGTTAAATAGAATAATATTCAGTGTCTTACCGTCACAGTCACTGGAGATACAGCATAAGAACCAGTGGGATATGTTGATTCAATGATCGTAAACGAAAGTGACTTTATAGCCAATACCTATAATGATTGACAGGTTTATTTCTATTATGAAACATGAATCATTAAATCAAGTATTTGTATGTTTGAACATTGGATTATTAATGACGATGTATAAACATGTAGTCCATGATAAAGATCAAGATGTTATTCACAACAATTGATCACTGCTATTAGTGGAATATGACGTCAAAATTCCCTATTATATAGTCTTGTTCACGTTCATAATTAGATTGGGAAATATACTGCTACATTTTTGCTGTGAGGATTACGCCAATGCATATTTTATGAATAGTAATTTGTCAATACGTTATTGACAGCATGCTGCTTATGATGACTGTTGGTGAATGATAGACAGATTCATAAAATAAAATACAATCACATATGAATGTAAATACAATCTGTTTGTATGTTACAGTTTCTCAAGTCTGAACATGAACATGAACAAGTGCATCTCATTACAATCGTTGTAAATGACAATCATTGTAAAATAAGCTACATTTAGAAATAATTCCAGAGCAATTACTGTAAGGTACATCGTTTTAGCTAATTTAGGTAATTCAAAATGTGGATAATTTTTAAAATAAAGTATATTCTCACAATGAGATTATTGTAAATTTACCTAAATTGAAATTTTAATTGATACATTTAGTCAGATTTGCTAAAATTACATTTCAACATGTTTTACAGTACACCAGTATATTGTGTGACAATTGTTTTAGCCACATCCCTGTAATCACATATCATCTAAAAAAACACAAATTGTCTAAAAAGTCAGCTTGGTTTTGTTAACACTCTACAGAACTTATTAATCATCGATAGTAATTGCAATCCAATCTCATTTTCTATTGTATAATTCTCATCAACTGTTTACAATCCTTGTTTTTTTCCTTAGGTTATGTATATACATATGAAAAATACATTATTTATTTTGTATTTTAATTATATATTTGTATTTATTATATATCAAATGAATATTGTAAATAATCTCATAATGTGAATGACAGCAGTATTGCTAGATTTACAGGAATACAAACAAAACACCGGAAATATTAAAATGTCATATATTTTAAAAAGATTGTCACATCATTTGACAATGCATATATATATATTTATCTTTGTTAAACATATAGCTCACGATTGACATATTCTTTGTTCGGATGAGTCAATTATATGTATTTATATACATTTCTGTACTTATGTGCCATCATATGTATTAGGATTTATTCTTTATGTAAATATTTTAAATCATTATCTTTCAAATCGGTCATTAAAAATTATAATGAAATAAAATTATAATAAAAATTGAATCCGAGGTCATTAGTAGAACAAAATTTAAAACATTTTAGCAATATACTTGACTCAGAAGTTCCTTCTGATTATAATATATAAGATTATAAGATTATATAAATTATAAGATTATATAAATTATAAGATTATA